TATCTAGGAAATATCAATGCACCGATCTACCCTTCGATTTATGGTGACAGTTATTTGTCACTGTTCCATAATCTAGATGACTATGGTTACTTTATGTTTGCTTCAAATGTTAAAATGTTCTAACAAAATAATTCATTTAAAATAAAAATAATATTTAAAACAATAACTTAATTTTGGATCTATTTGAAACCATCATCATCAATTATTAAAATCACTACTGCCAGCCCTTCTATTCTATAAAAATTCAAATCCGTATTCGAGTTCACTCCAAAAAGTAGCATCCGCTCAATATTGAATTGGTAATAGGAATAGAATATCTGAAACACGTATAAGCAATCGTTTAGTTTTGTATTTATATACCAAAAAATGGAATCATTAGAATTTTTTCACTTAATGACATGTATTCGAACACATGAATGAAGTCGAATTCGGGTATGAATTTTTAAGAAACGCAATGAATCGATTTGACTGAAATTAATCGAATAGGAAAAACGAATCGTTACCTACCACGTGGGATCAGTGCGGATTGGCAAGTGTTTAAAAACAGCAAACGCAGCCGGGATCTACAGCAACCTGTCTTTCGAAGATCAGAAGAACTTAATGAAATAAAATTTTGGTCACCCTTACAATGTTTCTGTTTTCGAAAGCGTGATTTGTCTACCTTTACAATAAATTTTGTAATTTGTAATTTCATATTGTAAGCATTTCACTGATGGTCCAATGGTCCAAATAAATAAATTAAATAAATGTTCGACCCTTGCGAAATTTGGTTAATAGCCATTGAGATTCTCGATTTATTAATATCAACTATAATAATACACTACCAAACATATAACTTTGGACTACTAAATCTTTGTTTTGCGTACACCCATTTTGGTTACAGCTAACCGAGACAAATTTCATAAACATTCCGAATTTTAATCAGTTAAATAATATCATTGTTATGCAAAACCTTGAGTGATAACTAGCAGGCCCTCTAACATTTTGAATATTTAATTGCGTGACATTGTATTTGCGGCGTTGTTAAATAAACGGAAAGAATCGGAGGCATCGATTCGACATGCCATTGAAAATTTTTATGGTGCCCTCGCACAAAAAAGAAACACTTATTTAGATAGTTTTGTTGTCAGTATATCTCATTGGTAGTCAAAATGTTTTTAACAACCCCCGGGGGTCAATGATAACCCAGAAGAAACCCACATTAGACGAAGATCTAATCATTGAATGAAGTAGTAGATCGTGAATTTGATTTTGAGTAAACTCTGTAAGATAAGAAAAATAATTTTGAAGAAACAGCATCAAATTATTATTTGTTTTATTTATTTTTTACTTGAAAATAGTTGAAACAAACTGACGACAATGTGTTTAAAATAAAATTAATGTTATGGCGAATAGTAAATATTATAAAATTGTTTAATGTATGTCTATTCTAGATGTAGATATATGTGGATAAAAATAGATTGAAAACTTTTTGTATATTTTATTGCATTCACAATATTATTTTATAATAAAAAAAATACTGAAAAATCGCAAGTACAGCCCAAATGACCGAGATACGATTCATATTCATATCTTTTCTTAATCCTGGCGCGTGTTCTTCCCAACTAAGCTACTTATTAATAAATAAAAAAAATAATAACAAATTTAAACTTAATTAACTAAAAAATAATTTAAGACACATTCCATTTTTCTTTTTAAATACGCAGCCTTGAGTTAGTTTGTCAGTTTTAAAACAACACCATATTTAAAATAAATCCTGATTTAGAGATAGGGAAAATTATAAAATATTCGATAGGTTTGCGTTCGATTAACCTCGACATCGTCGTCCTGTCTAGCCAACGCGACAAAAAATTATTCATATTTAATTCTTCTCTTCTTCTTTTATTAATGGCTTATCTGCGCATTTCGCACAATTCTGCCAACGTCAAGTGAATAAATTACTTAATTTCTACACGTAAAATAAAATGATAGCTATTGCACTGATTTTTAGATTTAAAGAACAGTTTGATTTTGAAATGTACGAACCACAAACTTAATATAATCATATTTAAAACTAGGACCAATACTTGGATTCTCCTAGGATACAAACGCAATGTTCAACCCACAGTCAACATACATTTATACACAAATTATACACTAATTTCTCGTTCTATAAAGAACCTCCTAACAACCTTAATACAGTTCTGAATATTCTAGTCATGAAGTAGCAACTTAACATATATTTCACTTGCGAATAAAACAAAAAGTTATTGAACTTGATTATAAAAAAGTTTAATACGTACCTACAGAAAGTTTTTGGAGGGTCACAAGTACCTCGCAAGTGGGGCACTAAGACGGGGTGGAACCCATAACACGGGGCTATTAGGGGACAATGGTGGATCGATGGGGACCGCCGCTGTCGGGCGGGAATCGAACCCTCGACCGATGCAGTCGGTAAGTTAATTTGCATTTCTGTCAGCCTCGTTAAGGAATTTTCGTATCAAATTTTAATGCGTACAGTGTTTAAAAAATCATCTTAGACAGGATTCGAACCTGCGCCTGCTGCCATAATAAAGCAGATATCAAGGTAACTGTAGTAGTCATTTTTTTATCTTCTGCTACAGATAACTAATACATAGACAATACTTGAAAAGAGGAAAAATTTGATTGTGAAAAATCTTTCACAATTCTATAATTTACGCGGATGAAGTTACGGATTAACGGACAGTACTATGACTAAATGTTTTCATATTAATGGTTGCTTAAAAACCATTTATATAACATGAGGACATATTTTTTTTTCTCCATCATTTGTACACGCAGCTGCATGTTAGGTTACCATAATACGTCAAATTCTCCAATTACTTTAATCTCTACATGTAAAAGATTTGGGATCAAAATCAGTTGAGTTTCACTAAATTGTATTATATAAGCTGGCGTGCCGTTGAATGTATTAATTTACAAAAGATGACAAGGTCACAAAAACTAAAAATGTAAACTTTTTAATTTTTACGTTGCGTTATCTTAGATTATATGAAATGGGTATTAATGCGATAGATATATTTTCACCTACCTATAATTCCCGACGTTTCAACCGGGTTACACCGGTCGTGCTCACAGGCTGACTGCTGCTGCCACGCTTTAATTCCCCTCTTTATACAATCTTAAACTAAGAATGTGATATATTAGAGGAATTAATTACTTTTGCATTTTGAACAATTAATAAAATGTAGTTAGTAGTTATAAACATTGCATGATCATGCTATAATTATAATCAATCGTTATTCACATATTAATTTTTAACAATTCCATTGTTATTTAAGTTTTAAAGGTTATACGAGTTCGATATACTTTGGACTTAATCATTATAACAGGTGATTATTATGTAAATATATACAGTTTTTAAAAATAAAAATAAATCTATACATCGTCATCATCATCAGCCTTTTTACGTCCCCACTGCAGGGGCTCAGGCTTTCCTTATGGATGGTTAAGGAGGATGGGCCATGACGCTCCACGCTGGCCCAATGTGGATTAGAGGGTATTAACGACTGCAAATGCAGCCGGGACCAAGGCTTAACGTGCCTTGCGAAGCACGAAGTAGCTCGAGATAATAATTTTTGGTCACCCATCCCGTGACCGACCCTTACGAAAGTTGCTTAACAACAAAGTTCGACGGGCCGCGGCGCTTATCCTCTACGCCACCGAGCTACAATAACAAATCTATACATCGATAACAAATATTTTAGAGATTTTTGGTCTAAAATTTCAATACGAAGGAAATAGGTATAATATAATAATAATATAACAAAATATGTTATGAGTAGTATTTTGAGTTAAATGAACTGGAACAAGATAAAAAATTTGCAACTTCACACAAAACATGCAGTCGTAGGCATGTACAGTTAGAGAATGATTTGATAATTATTCAATTTCGTGCCGCCATCTGCATGTTGCATTCCAACCTTTTCAGTTAGTTGTTTTTCACTCATGCGTGTTTTTGTTTTATTTATATTATAATTTTATTTATTTCTTTTTCAGACATCAGACAAATTACCAGATTGCTTCAGAAAGTGAAAAACAAGGTCCATGTTTTTAAACTTTATCATTGAATTATTTTACTAGTATTACGATAACGTTACTCATGATATTACTTTTTGGAATCCTTTTATTGATTTAATTTGATACCTATATTGTAGTGTTTGAAACAAAAAAATATTATTAAATATATAATAGACTTTGCCCAGCCACCATATTTGTTATTTTTTTTTAACGTAACCTATCTAAGAACACTTGGGCTACTAAGACGAATCTAACAATACCTTTCTCTTCCCGAATTGAGTTCTCCTTCTTTAATTTCAAGGAGAGGGTTTTCATTCAACTACTTTTTTGGGTCTCTCTTTTTACGGACCTATTGAAAAGCAGAGACGCTCTCGGCGGTGGTACCGCCTCGTCACACCACCATAAAATCGAAATGTCCATACATATCGCACTAATTTATTCCTTTCATCGTCTGGAAAAAAAAACCTGTTTTATTATATCGACGCTGGAAAGCAAACACGTAGTAACCCGCAAAACCAAAATTGATCTTCAAAGCAGAAAAACTTTGATTTTTTCGATAAGTAATTCCTATAAACGTCCATGGTAACAAATAAGGGGTTCCTTAGTCAATCTATACAGAAATAAGACATATTTTTTTGGAAAAATCTAAAGATTTTCCATTATAAATATCCATTTTGGTTTTGCAGGTTACTACGTGTTTGCTTTCCAGCGTCGATATAAAATATAATCTAAATATAGTACGAAAATCTCAAACAAGGAAAATATGATCTAATGTTTCGCTTAGGTCTAGGATAAAATATTTTTCCTTCTCAATATGTTAGCAGAAAATTAGAAACTCTTTAGACAAAATCACCGTCCTTTTTTGAAACAATAATGAATACAAACTATTTTTGTAGATCAGGCAGCTTAGAATGTCCATGACAACCACATGAAAATTCAAAAATAGAAAAGAAATGAGCACTGATCCAAGCGGCCCACCAGACGGGCTCCGATTCGCATTTTTTTCAAAATTTCAGTCCAGTCAAAATTTTTGTAGGAAAATCTTTTGATTTTACAGTTTATTTATATTTATTTTGCACCAGGATTAATCAAAATTACTAGTGATCATCATGGTAAGTAATATATTTATTATGGTTTTATTATTTCAACCAATATCTCTTTTTTTACTTTTTACTTTCTACTTGCATTTACAATTCTTGTACTTCATCTTCACTTTTGGTTCATTACCAACATTTTAAATCAATAATATTTTGCTTGGTTTCTATTATATTTAAAATATCAAAGTCAAGTTTTATAGTTACAATAAAAAAATGTGAATACTTAAAATGTGTCCCACGTCTATGAATATAACATATTGTCCCTAAAATTGTATATTTATCTGTTTATTGTTAGATAATTTCTATTCTAGAGGTTTGCAAGTTCTAAAACGAAAGTGTCGAAATCACGTAGCCATTTTGGATGTCACTTGAGCCATCGAATGTCTCGTTCATAACAATTAAATATTATGTTCTTTCGAGTTCCATAGTAAATCTAGTAGATTTATATACGCTAGTTTTATATCTTAAATGCGTGTAATTTTTTCTTAATTAGTGACAGCATCTACGTTCACCAATTCCAACTGAAGTTGAAGTAGTTTTGATCTTTTATTTCTAAGCCGTTTAATAATCAACGAAAGTTAAATAAAAAATAACATGCCATACTGAGATTTCAAGATTCGTAATTCAACCACTTGAAACTTTGTAACCATGAAGGAACACAGGATTAGGACCTGAATCGATATAGAAAAATTGAAAGAAAATCAAACACAGGCCCTTAAAGATTGCGAGAACTTAAAATCGAGTCACTTGACTATGGATGTCTAGGAATCTTCTATGTTGCTACACTCTTAGCAGATTGGTTATGGTCATCACATCAGGGCTGGTGGTACGCAGAACAATCCATTCCTCTCGCACTGCTGCCTTACTTGTGCATTCGTGGAATGGTCCGTGCTGACTTTATTTTAGATTTTATTTGGTTGGTTCAGCATCTAAACAAGTCTGGAATAATATGTAGAAAATAATGTGTGATGTTTCTTGTACGCGAGCAGAGGGAGTGCATCTCGGTGCACGTGGGCCAGGCGGGGGTGCAGATGGGCGTGGCCTGCTGGCAGCTGTACTGCCTCGAGCATGGCATCCGACCGGACGGCACGTTGCCCGCCTGCGAGACAGACCCAAACGCATCAGACTCCTGCTTCAACACCTTCTTCTCTGAAGCAGATAGAGGAAAAATGGTCCCCAGGGTGGTGATGGTCGATCTGGAGGCAACTGTAATAGGTAAGCCTTTTTAACCCACATTATAAAAGGTTCTAACAATAGTAAAGTATATTTTAAACTTATGAAAAACTCTTATGAAAATGTGATCCTTCCAATTGTTCATTTTTCTGAAGATCTTTTTAAATCTAACACAATAATAAACTATCGTTTTTATTTTACCTAGACGAAGTCCGTTCCGGTGAATACCGCCAACTATATCATCCTGAGCAGCTAATAACTGGCAAAGAGGACGCGGCGAACAATTATGCACGAGGTCATTACTCCACCGGACGAGAAGTATTGGGTCCAGTCATGGAGCGAGTGAGGAAGCTGGCCGACCAATGCACAGGACTACAGGTATCCTTGAATCTTTTAATCATGAATGAGTTCTACCAAATGCTTGCGACATGTAATCACAAATGTATATGTCGCAAGCACTATATAAAAGCTACATGCAATGTAGCTAAATCCGACCATATTATTTTTTCCATCAAACATCTCGACGTGAATAAATTTGCGGTTTGAACATTTCAAATACATTAGCGAATAATGATTCTAATATGTTTAGGGTTTCTTCGTATTCCACTCTTTTGGCGGCGGTACTGGCTCTGGGTTTACGTCACTTCTTATGGAGAAGCTTTCTGATGAATTCGGCAAAAAGAGTAAACTGGAATTCGCCATTTATCCAGCACCACAGGTGAGTTATGTACGAGTGCAAAGTTGACTTAGAGCTAAATCGTAAGAACCATAGATGAATTTTTATGTGACTTTGAATTTAGCCGTGAATAAATGACTAAATTACCATTCCTCTTTAGTTACAATCACAAATAATTTAGGACTTTAAACCACTTGAAGTTTTTCTTTATACCATGGTGTTACTTGTATATAGAGAAAAAAATACTTAAGATGCATTTCTTCAACCCCACTTATTGAATGAAATTATCAAATTAGGTAGTAGTTTTAAAAAGGCGGTATCTAACAATTTCTTATTTACAAATATCTTTACATGGCAACTTTTGTGTTAAATTAAACAAGTTTTTTCCTCGAAACTTTTTACATAACTCCTGTTGTAGAGCATATTGATTATTGAAATGATGATTAAAGAATAATTTAAATACCAGGTGTCAACGGCGGTCGTGGAGCCTTACAATGCAGTATTGACGACACATGCCACCATCGGCCACTCGGATTGTGCATTCATGGTAGACAATGAGGCCATCTATGACATCTGCCGTCGGCGATTGTCAATCGAGAGACCATCATACGCCAACCTCAATAGACTAATATCACAGGTACCTCGACATAATGTACGGAAACTATAATCACAACACCAGGCTTACAACTCTTTAATCAATCACCAGCCCTTTTTACGTCCCAACTGCAGGGGCTCAGGGCCTTCCTTATGGATGGTTAAGGAGGATGGGCCGTGACCCTCTCCACGCTGGCAAAATGCGGATTTGAGGGTATTAACGACTGCAAATGCAGCCGGGACCAACGGCTTAATGTGCCTTCCGAAGCACGGAGTAGCTCGAGATAATAATTTTTTGGTCACCCATCCCGTGACCGACCCTTGCGAAAGTTGCTTAAAAACTACGATCGCGGGCCACGGCGCTAATCCACTACGCCACCGAGCTACTCAAACAAACTCTTTAATACTTATTAAAAATTACAAACATTCAAAATGTGCATAAATAAATTTAAGAAACTTAATTTAAATTCGGACTGTTGTTGCCACCAGATTGCTCGCCCAATTCAAAAATAAATTCTTGAATTTGTAGTTTTTGAGGATTATTTTAAGTTAATCTTAGTTTTTTTTAAGTGTTCCACGATATACAGTTAAAAGTCAAATTCATTTCCAAGTGACAAAAATAAAATGTGTTCTTCTGGTTACTTCTAAGGTGGTGTCGTCAATAACAGCGTCGCTTCGGTTTGACGGTGCACTAAACGTTGACCTGACCGAGTTCCAGACGAACCTAGTACCATATCCACGCATCCACTTCCCGCTCGCTGCATACGCACCAGTTGTTTCTGCTGATAAAGTGCGTAAATGTTACCTGCGGGCATTATTGGATATTAAAATATCGTGACACATATTTTGCAGATCCTAGATTAAGTAACTCTGAACTTAGGTTGTGGTAATCCTAAACAACGAAATCAAAATTTGTAAGTAATGATTGACATTAATGCATGCGTTCATAAACTATTTAAAATGTATGAATAAACTATTATGTGTATTGTTTTTTTAAAAAGATTGAAAAATATTACGCGTGCATTCAGAAATGTGTAATGAATACTCAATCATTTCAATAAATTTTTGAACTCCTTGGATGTGCCTGGTTTACCACCGCACAATTTACAACTGAAGGTTGGCTCGGTAGTCATCATGCTTAGAAATTTAAACCAACCAAAACTGTGCAATGGAACGCGTTTGGCGATACGAAAACTGATGAGCAATGTGATTCAGGCGTCGATACTTAAAGGAAAATTTAAAGATGAGGAAGTTCTTATTACAAGGATTCCGATGATCCCAACAGATATGCCCTTTGAGTTAAACGAATTCAATTCCCGATTCGTCTTGCTTTCGCCATGACGATCAACAAATCACAGGGCCAATACTTGACTATTTGTGGCCTCAATCTAGAAAATGCGTGTTTTTGTCATGGTCAGACATGTGTTTGAAATACTTAATTATTATTATTTTTTTAATTTTTATTCTCATTCTGTATGTATTCATCATCATTCATCATAATAAAATACTTTTATATATTTTGTATCATTGTATTACGTTCATCAAAGCCTAAATTAGTTCAGCTAAAAGGTAACACGACATTCATTGACTGTTAGACGGTACGAAGTCCGCCGGGTCAGCTAGTATTTAATATAATTTTATCAAAATAGAAATAAAACCTAATGACGTTATTAAATTTGATCATTTTGGCATTCACTCAAAAAAATCCACGGGTTTGAATCCCATTTCAGGTTGCCAAGGACCAAGTGGATATTTTGAGCATTTTTCATCACATTATGTTTTAAATTTTAAAGTTTACTAAAGTTAGTCATAAATTATTGATGTTACCGTGTAACTTGCCGAAATATCCGGGAATTTAGTACAAAGATATCGTAGCAGCATCGTCAATAAATAATTGCTTTAATGGAAGTGAAATAGTCGTAATTAAACGCAAAGATTGTGCATTACAAGTCTTAGATGTCTACGTATTTTGATTGATTGAATTGTTTCATCAAGGCGTACCACGAAGGCATGTCAGTATCGGAGATCACCGCGGAGCTGTTCGAGCCGCAGAATCAAATGGTGAAGTGCGATCCTCGAGACGGCAAATATATGGCGTGCTGTCTGTTGTACCGCGGTGATGTGGTGCCTAAAGACGTTAACGCTGCCATCGCAGCCATGAAGGGCAGAGCGGGCATACGATTCGTCGACTGGTGTCCCACTGGATTCAAGGTAAGAGTATATCTCAGGATTGTATACTGTGGTCACTAAAGTTATATGGGAATTGTCGCTTATAGTGTGGATACTTAAATAATAATGATTCCATCGCGATCTATGGAATTATTTTTCGATATCTAAACTAATTAATAATATTCGAACGCCACGAAAATCAAATATAATAGCTAGAACAAATTTTAATCTTTATCGAAAATTTAAATATTTGTAAAAATATTTCCTTCGCTTGTTTGGGGGGGGGGGGGGGGGGGGGGGTTGTTTGAACATTGATGAAAATACATTCTTTAGTAGCGAAAAAGTAACAAGTGAGAAATTTCACTATAGGGAGGACATGTCTAGCAAGTGTAGAGCCAATGCAGTCATTATTAAATTAAATATTAAACAACACATACATTGCTCAGGTTCTAATAAAGTCCTCGTATTATGGAGTATCTGAGACAACGAAGGTATCACAACACTCAGACCCGAGACAATATAGAAAAGTTCATTTTCTACATTGACCCGACCGGGAATCGAACCCGGGACCTCAGAGATGGCGACATCTTGAAACCAGCGTGCGAACCACTCGCATGAGGTCTGGCTGGCGTGTCTGCATATTTGCCTACATGTTACATGTCTTTGAAATGGACACGAATAACGTATTCCACTGTGCTATTGAGGTTGGCATCAACTATCAACCTCCTTCGGTGGTGGCGGGCGGGGACCTGGCGCAAGTGAAGCGCGCCGCGTCGATGCTCAGCAACACCACCGCCATCGCCGAGGCGTGGGGCAAGCTCGACCACAAGTTCGACCTCATGTACTCCAAGCGAGCGTTTGTACACTGGTGAGCAATCTTACGTTTATTGAATACTATCGCACACTGTTGATTTTTGTTATTGAGACATATTTCCGTCACCACGATCCAGTTGTTTCTATGGAATTCGCCTAATTGTCCCGTGATCAAATGCGCGTGCAGTTGCAAGAGTTAAGGAGGAAGAAGGCACTCTCTAGTTTTCTGCCTCGGTTGATACTCTGTAGACAAAATGGCGTCAACGATCGTGTGATCCACCTTACGACTTCTAAAGTATATGTTATATGTAGGTTCTTTTCTAAAATCTTTCATAACTTTTTTATTTTTTATCAACCAGCAAGAAGTTTTTTTACTTATGTGAAGAGTATAGATTCTTCTATGTATTGAAAATTGGCAGGTACGTCGGCGAAGGTATGGAAGAAGGCGAGTTTTCAGAAGCACGCGAAGACCTAGCGGCCCTTGAACGTGACTATGATGAAGTGGGGATCGAGACGTCTGACATGCAACCTGGTTGTGACGATGAACTATAACGTTACCACGCATTCGCACAAGGCGCCTTCGCTACCGCGACATTGCAACAAGTTTTACCCGGTTATTATCCACTGTCTGAATGCTTAGGATATTTGCACTTAATATTTCTGCTGCAAATCTGATTTGAATGATCACAGATTTTTCCACACATCTGTATGAATATTACTGATCTCAAATGACAAGACAGTTGGAAGATAGCTTTGTCGGTTTTGGATATAAGGTCAAGATTGCAATCCTAACGACAGAAATAAGATTGCACTAAACAAAGAATGACCTGTCCCATTTTTATACTCTGTAATAAGGTACTGTTTTAACATGGGAATGAACTATATTCGCCACCTCGAGCTAGCTTGTTGGCTGCACGTAGAGACCAATATGGAGGCTGTATCGTCGTCACCGAAGCGGACGCCACAAAACCGCGGCCGCATTGATAATGTTGATTATGGCAGTTCAGTGGAAAATTTTTAAAGGTTCGAAAATGTCCGCCAAGGTCGGACGATGCGAGTTGCCTTCCCCCGACCTGACAAGAGTACTCTGTCTTTTGCCTTCCAAGCAATACTTTTGAATATAGACATGTGAAATGACGGATTCATATGCCTGATTATTAAAATTAAAGAGCTGAATGTCAGCAGAGCTTTGTTTCTCCGTCGAGCAGTCTTGCGACGTGTTAATTTTTTTTTCTCTTTGGAACTTTTTGCTAAATTTTTAAGCAAATACTGGACGGAGAAATATCTATTTAAAACATTTGATATTCATTTTTGAAGTATTTAATGACGAATCGCGCCGTGTGCGGAAAATTTGAGGCTTATACTTATAAGTGTAAATGTGTAGTATTGTGTCTGTCCATTTGTGTCGTGAAAACTGAAAAAGTATTTCATTGTACCGTCTGAAGTTCGCGTTTAATAAAATGTGTTCTTTCAAGTTCCAATTTTTATTTGAAATAATTAATTACACAGTTTTTGGCTAACATTTATTTTCTCTGATAAATACATACACAAATCTATAATTACAATCTATATGCATTTGGTAAAATAAAGCTCATATTATTTTGTACATCATACAAACAATAAAATTGAAGAAAATATTAATTTACAGTTTCTAGGCGCCTATATAAAATATATTTTATATTCAAATATTTAAAATACAAAAATAATTAACAAAAATAATTATTAAATATACTTCCTGTCCTTTTTACAAGACAAAATCTGATACTCGCGAGCAATATGGATCCGGTTTATCGCGAATGTTCCATATTATTTTTACAATTTGCCATGTAATATTGTGGTATATCATATGACCATATGAGATCTGGTCAACAGTGGTGCATCGACCAATTATCACTTCAATAACCGATACCTTATAACCAGCATGAATGTTTGCTCGCGAATGTTTGCTCGCGAATACGATATGATAGATATGATCACAAAATATTAGCTTAGTTGGTTTCACTATGTTTAGTCTTTAGGGTTGTAACACATCTGCAGTAATAAGGTGGAACCAGTCTAAGAGATAAATAACAATAGACAATGAATACATTTTTGGCATTATCTTTACACTTTTCCTTTCATCTAGCTACAAATAATTATTTTCTATAGTTTGAACAGACCTCTCATTAACACCAAATTCAATTCTGTAATATTATTTCATAATAATTGGATATTTATTTGTTTACCACATTTATTTGGTGCACTAACTCACAAACTCGTTAAAAATACATGTGATACTAATATTTGTTATAAAGATTTCAAACTTAAGTTTCCCTATTTATACCTACGTAGAATATTCTTAATATAAACTTGCTTGGTTATCCTTTGTTTTATAAATTTTTACTATATAACTATAATTTTTTTATTCGTACAAAACGAATATCAAAATACTGCATAAAATTATTATTTTTCATAAAAATAAATTTACTATATCTAGACATCTACTGCCCTTTTATACATACATTTTCTTGTTTATATTACATAAATTTTTAAACCCATATAAAGTTTTTTTAGAGTTTTTTTTTATATCCTATTTAGAACTACGAGGGTAGATAATATTACCAGTAAAATTGCGAATTGCCATAAGAAGGCCGCCTCAAAATTTATCAACAAATAAATGTTTCAGAGAACATCAGAGTAGTGATTGGATACCAGGTTTAAAATATTGATTGAATAATTAAAAATTGCTCATATTTGCTAGTTTATCATCATATCACAACTTAATTTTTTATTACCAATAATTAAAATCGCCCCCCCTATTCCACATATCCCATAGTCCCCATTAGTAGGGATACTAGGATATTTTTTTCCAATTATAGCTACCGGTAGGGATATATGGAATCGGTTACTCCACATATCTCCACCGATTTGCGCTGGTTGGGATACTTGGATTTTTATTTCCATTTATCGCTATCAGTAGGGATAAGTTTTCTAATATTGGTGTTCAAAAAAACCGCTTGAAATGTATTGTACATGACTAACTCCGAGACCAGGCATATGTTCTACGTGATATTATTATCCAAAATGCCCAATTAGAACTTGTTACGGCAGAAATTACAGTAGGTGCTTTCTTAGATGTGGTAAGGTAAACGACAACATTGTATTGTACAATACAACAGAGTACAATTTTATTTTTAACGTTGTCTCAAATGACGTTATGTTTTTAATAGTAAATAAATTTTGTGCAAAGGGTTTAGCCGGATACGTATGACGAGTCGGCCCCCAAATGGGAATCGATATCGAAACTTATGTTTTAATATAGACTTGATGTTCAAACACGATTTATGTACTTTTCGCGACCAACTTCCGCTTTGACCTTGAGATAGAGAGCAAAATATCCGTATGCTTGACTATTACTGAATGTGATATATCTCTGAAACTAATTAAGATAAAGAAGTGAAACTAACGCGAGGTGTTAGGTTACATTATAGAGTATATCACATATATTTTTTTATAATTTTTAGAATAAAAAATTACATTAAAAAAATAAAAAATAAAAAAATCATGTTTTTTTTTCTGAGTTCTCTGTGACTTACAATCACGAAATTAATATATGTTATGCTCCTTTGTGTGCTCTATCACCCATAAAAATTGCGTGAAAAAAAGGTTGGTGCAATACAACGAAAAAAAATTATATGTGATTCGCGCCTTGTAGTGTGAGTGTATAAACAAACAAGTTCGAACTTGTTATCGAGCTGTTTACTGCATCGTTTGTTTAGCTAAAGTAGCAGTCATTTGTATTACACAAGAAGGCAGTTTGGGACTCAAATTCTGTCATAGGTATTTTGTATCAGCATTTTGAAATTATTAACTATCGAACCAAATCATTATTAAGTAATAATGTCGAGAAAGTGTAAAAATTGTAACAAGTACCTGTGTAAGATTCCTGGTTATAAAAAAATTATAAAGAATGAAGAAGAAGAACTAAAGTGTTTAGTGACTCTTTGAATAAAATCGTAATAGTTAATGATATTTTTGTAAGAAGTGTCGACTTATCCCATATGTTAACAAAAAAGCTTCTACTTCTAAATGTGCAGCATTTAACTTGGCCGAAATAATGGACGATCAAAATAATCTCTCAGTACAATATGTGAAATCAGCACCTATCATCATCAAAGCAGAAGTAAAATCAAGACATATAAATAGAAAAGTCTATCGAATTTACATTCACTATATTTCCGAAGGTAATGACTACAATAGTATTCTTCGTTATTGCTGTGATTGCCCCAATGGCAAACGTACAGTGGGATGCTGTTCTCATGTAGCAGCTATTATTTATTATCTATGATATGGATGATATTTGTCCAAAATCGTACGTCCTGCTGAGGTCCTAACTAAGTTATTTGCGACTCAAAGTGTTCCGATTGTAATTAATTACAACAGTGACGATGATTAATATTTTGTTTCTTGTATTTTGATAGACACGAAAAAGTAATAATAATAAGTATTGAACACTGGCTGTTTTTTTTTTCATTTCTTTTTTAACTATTATCCCATCTTTTAAGACTATTTACTTATGTTTTAACACAAGCTGATGTGAAATTTCGAAAAAAAAAACAATGATGTAATGTGAAAACCTTATAATACAGGGGTATACCATAAGACAGAAATCACATATAATTTTTTTTCGTTGTGTTGCACCAACTTTTTTTTCACGCAATTTTTATGGGTAATAGAGCACACAAAGGAGCATAACATATATTAATTTCGTGATTGTAAGTCACAGAGAACTCAGAAAAAAAACATTATTTTTTTTTATTTTTTATTTTTTTAATGTAATTTTTTATTCTAAAAATTATAAAAAAATATATGTGATATACTCTGTAATGTAACCTAACACCTCGCGTTAGTTTCACTTCTTTATCTTAATTAGCTTCCGAGATATATCACATTCAGTAATAGTCAAGCATACGGATATTTTGCTCTCTATCTCAAGGTCAAAGCGGAAGTCGGTCGCGAAAAGTACATAAATCGTGTTTGAACATCAAGTCGATATTAAAACATAAGTTTCGATATCGATTCCCATTTGGGGGCCGACTCGTCATACGTTTCCGGCTAAACCCTTTGACTAGCGTTTGTCGCAAATTTACCTTCTCATACATTCTTTGTATTGAAATGGTTTTCATGACTTACGTTTTATTTTATGAACACTTAATATGCCATATCTAATATAAGAAAACTTATCCTTACTTGTAGCGGTAACTTTACTTGTAGCGATAAATGGAAATAAAAATCCAAGTATCCTAACAAGTGCAAATTGGTGGAGATATGTGGAGTAACCGATTCCATATATCCCTACCTGTAGCTATAATTGGAAAAAATATCCTAGTATCCCTACCTGTGGGGATATGTCAGCAGGGATATGTGGAATAGGGGCAATCGCCATGACTTTACTAAATATTATTTCAACGACACTACATTACTCACATGATGCAGGGCAGAACTAAATTTTGCATACACTAATGTATAAATTAATTTATTAGAACACAGCTATCCCGAAGTCTCAAAAACTACACTTTTAATCCTACTGACCGCTACTCCGGTAAGGAATCAGCGGCCTTTCGAAGTCCCTAGAGTTTCCTTGGGGGTGGGGAATCGCATGCGCTCGGCGTGAGAGAGAGACGCCTGATGTTGGGCTTGTCGTACTCTTCCATGGACATAGCGCGGGACATGCGCCGCTCTACGCCCGGGGGCGGCAGTGACGTCAGCAGCCCTTGCCCTTGGCAGAACAGAAGCAGCGACTGCGCCACTTTAGCGGGCTGTTAAAAATAAACGTTTATTAAATAAACATGTGCCCTAGTAGTTGAGACTTATCTCACATGGTCACACCGTATTGTTCCATTGGAAGCATATACAAATTAAATGTTCCATATGCTTGTATAGGAGAGCATAGATTATATACGCTTCCTGTTAAATTATTGGTAACGTTCTTTCTCTATAGATTGCATTCCTATAAGTATCATATGTTTCCTATAAGTATATTGCATTCCTATAAGTAGCAAAACAGAGGCGTCATGTGGTCACAATTGAGGCTTAACATCTGACAATGGACCAATTCGAATTGCTTCTAATTATTTATTAATAATTTAAAATGTGTTATATAAGCGCGGAGGGGCTCGAGCTCGAATAAATTTTTGGTTACCCATCTTATAGCCGGCACTTGCAATTTGCTTTGTTGCTTTGCTTCGAAGATGGAACGCGCTAATTATTGCACCGTCGAGCTCTTAGCGAAATTTAATTACCTTATCTCTATAAAATTATTGATAATCTTAATAACTAGAAAGCAACACATTTATTCCGTTTCTGACCCGTGGAACACCAAAGTGGTTCACCTAGGTGTTCCACTGTTAACTTTTTGTAACCCTGGTTCACCTAGGTGTTCTGCCATTCAAAATAATGTACCCGTAGTTCACCTATCTAATGAAACACAAGTCATCCTAAATAATTGAAAAACTTAATGTTAAAATTGATAAAATTAAAGATTTTCAGGACAAAACAAGAAAGAAATCTGTTTTGATAATGTAACAACGTAATAAAAGACAGAAAACAGACTTTACTCCAAGGGTGAATATTCTACTTTTAATTAATAGATATTGTGTCAAATGCTTGGTTCGCATAAAAAAAAAATCGCCTAATTACGTAGCTTTTCTAATGCACTCACGATAGTGATTTCCTTATTAACTAATTGCATTTGATTGTTGAGAATATAGTTATCATTTTCGAGAATTATTTTTCTTTTTTAATAGGATTTTTTATCAGCAGGTGCAACTGATACAATTTTTTCAAAAAAAAATTAAAAGTCTTAAGGTAAGTTGCACAAACGTCCATTAGGGTTTAACGACGCCTTTAAGCTCTAACGAATGTCAAATTTGTATGGGTAATGTCGCTTTAAACTAATGAAAATTTTAATAAACGTTTGTGCATTCATAATCCAATAGATTTTAAAATTTAGAGGTACAAAAAGTTAACCGTAAAAGTAGATCAACGAAAAGAGTATCCACAGAAAATTTATACCTAGGTGAACCACGGGTAAACAAAATTAACCGTGGAACACCTAGGTGATCCATGGGTACAAAAAGTTAACAGTGGAACACCTAGGTGAACCACTTTGGTGTTCCTCGGGTCAGAAACGATTTATTCGAATTCTATAGCAAGACACCAAAGTCACTTTAACGAATTAATACCAGCATAAAATTATTGTTACCCACACGTGCACAACTGCGCAACCAATATATGATTTCAGAACGTAAAATCAAAAGATGACCATCAACACTCTCCATTTACAATCATATAATCTGATTTTTCCCGCAAACTTCATCTATAAAATTATACCATTTGTCAATTGCCTATTACGTAGCTTTATTTAAATAAAATTGGAGATGGTTTGAAATTGAGGATCTGGGGAGCGATTCCATAAAAATTCGAACCCGAATTCGGTTTCACTCATGTGTCCGAGTTCCGTTATTTAGTGTATAAATTCTATAAATTCAATTTTTTCTCTTTCTCTCACTATGTCATGCCATGAAATGTTATCACTAATTCAAAGTTTGACGAATGGCTCTTTAAAAATGAATTTGGACACCCGAGTGTATTCGAGTTCTGCTTCGGATTTTTATGGAATCGCAGCGCTGGATTTACGACGATTACAACTTTCATTTACTAAATTATGATACGAGTATTTAAGCTGACCAGTCACGTGCGAGGTGGACTGGTGAACGAAAGGTTCCTTGCCATTATCTATGAAATACCGAAAAAAAAACACGTTTGTTGTTTCATCGTTCGGTTTGTTTTCTCTATAGATATTAAATCATTAAGCATATTGATTTATTTTCACGTCAATGATTTAGCGTCTACTTGGAACGTTAGTACAAATAAAATAAAACTAATGTTATTTTAATTTACAGTCTTTATTCATTAAAGTATATCCGATCCCATTTCGAGAAACTTTCATTATCAGCAAAGTAAGGAAACTATCAATAAATAAATTATCGTAAATAAGGCAACGGCTATTAAAAATATTCAATAACAGAAAAGTACAGGTTTTGTTTATCAACAAATACTTAGGGTTATTTGAGCCCTTTTAAGGTGTCAGCTTTAAAAAAGTAAGATGTACTTACTATAATGTCTTTCGTCTCGTTGAATCGGGCATCAACTCGCGAAACTAATAAGAATTACTGTAAAAAATCAATATTTAGCAACTGCCACATTCAATTAGAACATACATTGTTATTGCACCGTCAAATACAACTTGTATGTTAAAAAACCTTGAAAAATCAAAATTTAATATTTTAATATTATTCCAATTTGTTTTATTGTAACCAAAAATCCACAAAGTAGCATGACGTAGGAAAAATAAAATTTATATGAATCAATGAACAATCGCTTACGAAAATTACAATACATTATCGATTTATAAATCTACGACGGAAAACGATGCAGTAAGAAGACCTGACAAGAAACTCAGCAAACCCTGTATTTTTTACTCTGATTGGTTTTGTTGTCTTCATATTGCCTTCCATTATAACAGTGTATCGTAATGGGAAAAAGGACTAACGTATAATTTTATTTTTTGTATAGATGTCTACAATATAATTTTCCTTTACACTAAATTACTCTTCGCTTATTCGTGTTCAGTCAAAATAATATAAGGCAAATATTTTAACAAACATTTTTACATTATTATTGTTATATCATTTTGTATCTACCATACAAAAGCGACAATGATTTATTTTTCAGAAATTGCACATTTTTAGTTCATTCTCACTTAAATTCACAATTTCTACAGTTTTATCCCATAAACGTTCAGAAACTCCTTTATCTTGTGCTTGTATCGCCGTCGGCATAGCTCGTAAGTTTCTAAAATATAATCCATTGGATGTCTTTACTTTATCACTCAAACATACATACAAAGCCGTCTGTGATCCTTCCCAAGGGTTTTTGAACAGAATACTAACTAAATATGTCCACAATGATCCAAAACTTAATCCAACGCTGCGGAATATTTGTGTTCCGACTAATCCTGGATCTACCGTGTGCACGACAACATTACTATTCTTCAGTCTCCTACTAAGTTCAAGAGTAAACATGACGAGGCAAAGCTTACTGTTGCCGTAAAGCCTCGTCTTACTCCAATATTCGGTTTTGTTCCAATTTTGGAAGTCTATTCTCCCGAATTTATGTAGCACCGACGCCGTGTTTACGATCCTACTTGGTTCTGACGGTTGTCCCGTCTTCTGGAGAAGCGGCAGGAGTAAAAGCGTCAACAAAAACGTGCCATAGTAATTCACTTGCATTATAAAGTGAAGTCCATCAGAAGACAGGAAATCCCCCGGGACACCTACACCTGCGTTGTTAAGTAATATATCTAGTCTATCCTCAGTCTTTAATATTTCTTCAGCGAATCTTCTCACCGATTTGAAACAAGATAAATCTAATAGTTTAAATATTATTTTATCACTTCCTGTCTTTTTTTCGATTTGCTCTTTGGCCTGAATTCCTTCATCGTTAAATGGGCAGGCGATTATTACTTTTGCACCTCTATGAGCGAAGTCTCTAGCTATTTCCAATCCCATACCACTGGTACCGCCGGTTACAATAACAGTCTTCCCAGAAAGGTTCTTTTTTGATTTACATATCAAATTTGTATTTTTCTGATACAATCCAGTAGACATGAAAACTATGGCGAATACTTCAAACACTTTAAAAAATATCCAAATATTACGCAAAAATATTATAAACAATAAACTGAGTATTGATTTCTCAACAATTTTCCAAGACATTCTGATGATCTATTTATAGACAACCGTTTAGTGCATATTTTGTTTCTTCAACAAAATAATGTGTATTTTGTTTTAAATTAATATCTGCGTATTTTTATATTCGTTTCGCCGTGTTCACACGTTCGCGGTTGCAGGTGACCCGGTTGACTGACAGGAACTTTTACTTTTGCCGTTTAGCGCAACAGCGGACACGAGATTGCGTCGAACGCTCACCTATAATTACGGAGGTGTTACATTACTAGAAGTATACTTATGTCCTGAGATACTATTATCAGAAACTTGTTTTAGCTAATTTCTTATAATATTATCACACTTATATTATTATTTTTTTACGTTATTTGCTTTATAATTTATTGTATGGGACATGATGGTTTTATTCTTCGTGACTGACAATAGATGGCACTAGTGAACAATATTGCCATCGGAAAGTAAAGACGTGAAAGTTTTCTTTACCAATCTTTTGTGGGATATTGTTTTGGGTCATAGATCTTGTGAAGATAAATTAAACGTGCTCAAACCTGATGGTGTTGCTTCGTTTAATTAATGAAAAACTACGCAGCAGTTATTTATCTGTCATCTTTCGTGTCGAGTAAAATTTATTATAACATGTGAGTGAAAGATTTTTTTTTTAATAAAAAATATATACGATGACCGTCAAACTTCCTTATCACACTTACTAGTGTTTTGAAATCAATAACCTTCAATTAACGTTACATGTACAATTAATGACTTGTTTTTACTTAACCTTGATAATATATTTAATAGGTCTTATTTTTGGCTTTATAAAGATGGTTCTTCTAATTCGTATCTAATATGATTTCTTTCTGTTTAGCCTTTATTGATACTTCTATACTAATAACATAAAGAGGAAAGGTATGATTGTTCGTTTGTTTTCATCGAATAGGCTCCGAAACAACTGGGCCTATTGTAAATATTCTTTCACTTAATGAAAAATTGAAAATTACAGTAAAAACGGGTTCCATCTATACATAGTATAAAACAAAGTTGTTTCCCGCTGTCTATACGCTGAGATCTTTTAAGGAAAGCAATGGATTTTAGCGTAGTTTTCATCAATTACAAAGTTATTCCAGATAAATTTGTTAAAACATATTAATAATGCTATGTTATAGATACAAAGAGACCTCGCAGGCTAAGCCGCTCGCGAAAGCTATGTCTGACAAATGACAATACAGGTTTTTGTTATATATTTGGAAAATATTAATTTTACTGCACTAATTTGGAAAATATCAAAACTTGGAAAAAGTTGGGAAAATATATTACAAAAATGTGCAAACTATATATGGCATTAAATTAGTTACATTAAACGTAACTTACCTTAAACATAAACACACAAATAACAAAGATACAAGAAAGAATGGCAATTCATTTTTCGCTACCATAGCAAGGCGTGACGTCATATCGTGGTATTCATTTTTAGGGAGCATTTTCGGTCGACAGCAGCAGTTCCACAAACAAAGCACGGTATCTCCGAATCTATTAATCGCAGACATGCTGTTACTTCAACATTTTTTTGTCAGTTTTATTTGGACTATTGCTTTATAGAATAAGAAAATTGTCAACGAGCCTATTTACGAAGGAAAACAGCTGGTGGTAAACAATTTGATAAACATTTATTTAATATAGTCTATTTATGATTGGCTAAGAATTTTTATTTAAAGTAAATTTTATTTAGAAAATATGATAGCCTGTCATAGGGATAGCGACATTCGAAAGCATTATTGGTCGGGTGCCGAAGCAAGCTTTGATTAGCAACAACACATACTGAAAATGTATGATTGTGTCTACAGATTGTCTGAGTATTTCAGATTTTTGCACACTAGTAACACTAGTTGATTCATAAGTTTCCTGTAAGGCTACTAGACAACAAAGTATTTCTTGTATTTTTTAAAAACGTTGACAAAAAATGTTTTTATAATTAACAATAGAGGACGTAATTTTCTACTATATAAGCGTCTAAAAATAGGTCCTAAAGTATACTATATAATATGTCTTTGTATTCTGTTATCCAAATTAGTCTTAGTGTTGATTTTATGTTTTGATCACATTATGGCGTATATTGGTGACTTTTTGGTATCGTGACTTATTGTCTGAAGTCACCTAATTTTCATATATTTTGAATGTGCGCGCCATCGTAAGGATTCTTGAGCACGATGGCATGAGACATCATGCATAGTATGCACACTTGGCCTAAATCTTTTTCGTCAGCACGAAAATGTTCAAAAATCTTTTTAACTGACCTTGAAAAAGGAGGTTTTTTAACAAAGACATGTAGCTACTTACTGCCTCAGAAAGAACGTCACCCACTTTCTCGACTTTCAGAATAGTTGCTTTATCCTTATCCATCTCCTTGTACATTTTCTCCACTACCGTAGAATAAGGACTCAGCATACCAGTGATCAGCAGTATGTCTGGTTGACATCCCTTCAGCATGAGGTCTTTGCGACTGTAAAGGAAAGTTAAAAATGTATACAATCTGCTCTATATTATTTATATATATAGTATCTATTATCTTATGCTCAACCTCAGCTTGACTATTCTTTAAAAAATCGCCACAAACTTGTCTTCGAACGCAGTACTGTAACGTCATAGAGTTTCAATGAAATGAAGCCCTTATTACCTTTTAAAATAGGTAGATTGTTTTGATTGAATCTCTATGATGTGACAACCGCTGCATTCTACATCGAGTTCAAAGTTTTTTTTAAAACAGAATAACTCTGCAGGTCACAGCTATTAAATTAAAATACCGTGTTTAATTTAAACGTATTAATTGCGAAAACTTTTACTTCTTTAATACCATCATATAAAACTAGAGACTAAAAATAGTATTATGTTGTAATTTTTTTTTAAGTTTATAAAGTTAAAGTATTCAAAACCGTCTTCATATTGCTGAAACTGGTAACCACTATCGGAGAATTGTAAAAAAATTGCCAAATCTGCTCAACGACCAACGACTAAATCAGTCAATATACAGGCATTCAGTAACCTGCGTTATTGACTGTGATTATTTTTAGTTTCAGGGTATATTTCTGTACCCAACTAACAAAAAGGCATATTTTTTTTATTAGTATTACTTTCTCACTATGTGAAACTGACGTTATCTTTCAAATAATTATTGCTAAGATTCAAATAAAAAAATATATGATTTTTTAATTGTGATAAATTGCCAGCTTTGTAATTGTAAATAAAATGTGTTAACATATTAACGAATATATAATGATTCTCACTTGATGAACGCCTTGACGTACTGCTTGATGTTGTGCGTGTTGAGGTTACCGCGCAAGCGGGACCGGTAATCAGTGAGCATTCTCTCTCGCTCACCAGCTTCACACGAATCCGTAGAAATTTGCTAAAGCAAAAAATTAAAAATATACTAAACTAATCTTCATAAGGTTCATCAACATTGTATGAAGAATTTCATGAGGGGTTTTAATTATCAACTGAGATTGTATGTAAAAAAATTAACGTACAAGTATCTACAATTTTATAGTACAATTAACTATTTATAATTTAATTACTTTAATACAAAATGAGTACTAATTTTAGTACCCGTTTAAAATCATTATCAGACCAAAACAATTTAACGTCTAATGTTTTTAAACTAAGTACTAATTATATAGTATAAGTTTATAATATAATTAGAATGTATTATAAGTTTAAAGTAGAAAATTGAAACGTCGTTTTAAAAGGAAAAATACGATTGATAGTTTTTTGTTCCAACTAAAAATATTTAATAAAATATTCATATCATTATAAGAAGGTTTTAATTGAAAACAAAGCATGTATCTGGAAGTATTGTTTATAAAAAACATTTGCACATATAAAAACTGCACAGCCACAAAGACATTAAGAACAATAAACACCATTGAAAGAAAAAAAATCTATAAGTATTTCCAGTTCTAACAGAAGCAGCACGGTTAAATATAGTTAGTATTGTTAAAAGTATACTAAGAGATGTGAGTTGAGAAAAATTCTACAAGCACAGTTACACAGCCTTGTGAAAACAGAACCGCCATAACTGGTTCCCTTACAAACTTGCCTGAGATATTTGGTGATTAACGAATTAAACTAAACCTGGTCTCACTTCGCAGTCTCTGAGTCAGATAAATAATAACTTCATGTGTCCAATGTTCTAAGTGTATAAAATCACTAGGCATACAAAAATGCAATATACAAAGTGTCCTAAACACAGAATTTATATATCTGAGGCCTTAAGTGAAATTGTCTACGATGAGATTGAAACCGTATTAATAATCTCTTCAAAATAAAATGTTCTTAATTATAAACTATTCAAATCACCCCCAAATATTAGTAAATGTTAGCAACAGTAACTAATGGCAAATACCTGATAGTGGTAATGAAGAGGTTCCTCAAAACTCACATGACCGAACTTATGATAGATAAGGAAGTCCTCTTCAGACTGGGAGATGTCGGTGCCCTTCCACCTGGAGAACCTGCTGCGGAAAGCGTCGGCGACAGAGGAGGTGGACGCTGTGCAGTTGACTAAGATGAGTCCAAGAAGGCGGCGGGGATGAGCGAGGCCACAGCGGGCCAGGACGTTGGCGCCTGCACCTTCACCGAGTCCAACTGCATAGCGGACGTGGAGAAAGTCCAGGACAGTTATAAGGTCTTCTCCTAAAGTCTGCAGAGACGGGAATTGATATCTGAAAATGAAAAATTCAATTCGTTGAAAAGTTCCAACTCGAGTGGTTCGATCTTTAAGGTCTCGGGACCTGTTCTAAGTTTGGTCAATGTAGAAAGTTTCTATATTTTCTCGGATCGGCACATATACTTTAGCAACATTACTTAGGAATTTGAATAATACATATAATGCCGTGTAATATTTATTTATATAACAGCGAAAGTAGGAACCTTTTTGATATTTGCGACAGGACATTCTCATAAAGGCTTCTGATAGTACAATAGGGATAACGATAAATTTTTGTTTGTTTGTTCGTCAGGTAAATTAATAAAGAATATTTAATACTTATTTCTATGTGTATTCATTAATTTACGGCGATACATTGAGTTGACGTATCGCATGACGTCACGCTTTTGCTCATATTGTTCAAAACTGTGACGTAGCAAGCCCCCATTCCTCAACTTTAATCCGTATTATCTAAGCCATTTCTTGTTTATATTGAAACAAAAAAATACTAAGTGGAATTTCTTTTTTTTTACCCAATCCTCATCCCTATTGGTTGAACTACCAGAATGGGTTTTCCATTCAAGTCTTATCTTGTTCACCAGAAGCATGATTTTTCAAGCATTTTTCTTTTCATAAATTACAAGTAATTTTATAACAAAAATTAACTAATAGACTTCCACAACAATAGAAACGAAACGAAAGAAATTTCCCGCTAACGCTATATATATTTGGCAAGTGTAAACACGCGATAAACTTGTTTGTCTTCGGTATTCCAGTCTCGCGTCTCATCAACATCAATTAACAGTAATATGCATTCCAAAGGAAACTCGCAATTGAGTTCGTGCCTCAAATTAAAACTTCTTGCAAGGGATATTTGTTATATCGATGGTACTTTTAAAGAGCACCTTTATAAATACAATTAAGAAATAATCACAGATGTTTTTAAGAGACATTAAACTGTTTTACATTGGTACTTTTTGGTAAACTGGTGGTATTTTTACAACTATGGACTTTTAGAACAATTGTAATGGACAATGCTTGGATGATTATAAACAGATTTATATTGCACAGTCACACATCGTAGACGATTTATTTACTCGTTGCTTAAGAGTATTTTTTTCTGCGATTTCACCCGTGTAAATTATATCACTATATGATGTAGCTTAGTGAAAGAATTTTTGGAATTGGTTCAGTAGTTTTGGAGTCTATTCAATGCAAACAAACAAACAAATCATTAATTCTTTCCTCTTTACAATATTAGTATAGAATAAATCTTTCTATAGTAGTTTTTCCTAGTATGGGATTATAAGCCAGAATCAGTTGATTAAACTTTTTCATCTTACTGGAAAATGTCTCCTATAATCTCTCCTATAAGTATTATACCTTTAAACGATCAATTCTTGTAGAATATCTTGTGGAATCTGGCTCTCTGAAACGGCTCCGACAATTTTCAATAAATTTAGTATGCAGGAGGTTTTGGGCCATTAAATAAGGCATATTAATACCTTAAACAAAAACTTAGGTAAACGGTCGAAGTCCAACCTGAAATCTGAGTAAGACTGACTTACTTTAAATTCTTGCATTTTTTTCTAAGATACTACAAGCGGCTTCGCAGGCGTGGTCCTAAGGGAACGGCACATAGAGCAGCCTATTATTTTAATTCAGGCTTTGCATTATCGGCATACCAAATCAATTAAAATCACTTTAGTAGTTTTTGCGTGAAGGAGTAACAAACATCCATACGATACTCCCTCAACATATACTCCCTCACAAACTTTCGCATTTATAATATTAGGAGGAATTACTTACGAGTCGGGTAGATCAGGTGAGTTTTCCTCGTGTCCCGGGACGTCTACATGGATGAAACAGGACCGCTCCTTTATCTCTGTCATCGCGGGGCAAGTCACAAAATCCACCAGGGACGAGTCTGGAATGATACATACATTTAGATTTATAAGAACCCACGGTTACACGTCCTTATTATGGTGTTTGTTACGATACTATTAATGAAACGAATACTGATATTTTGATACTGGAAGATATTGTGTTAAGTATTTTTTTCATACAGTTACGTCTCTTAATGATTTCATTGAAATAGTAACCTGGATTGCGCATTGGAATTATACCATGCGCAAAAAAGGAAAGTAAACAAATATAAAAATAATAGTTAATGTGTTCTATTGGTACCCCTTCTTAAATTATTCGTAAAAGGGAAAAAATTGTGTTGTCAATAAATCCATAAATACCGATCGATTTACGGATTAGCTTATTTTCAGAATGAATTAAAGTTCCTACAAAGAAAAGTTTTGTAAGTTAGCCTACAGAGTTAAATCATTTTGTATCATCTCAATAACTTTACGATATTTAAAATACCGATTGTCCTGAAACATTAGTTCATAAAATTATATGCTCTTACGTTTACTTACGATTTGTTCCAAGGTCGTGTACTGTTAAAAATACACATCGTTTGTCTTGCTGACTCAGGTCGCCCTGTAAACATAAGGTTTCATCTCATTAATGATTTGGGCGGATATGTGTGCTCGTTGGCCGTAATAATACCTTTGGAAACTACAGGGACACGCATGCTATTATGTGATTAATGCAATAATTAAACTAATTACTGATTTTAATTTTAAAATGTTTAAATATGTTTCTATATTATGATGCAGAAGTAGAAACCAAGCAGGACAAGCAAGATACATCTCTCACAGACAAAGTGATCTATCGTAAAATGAGGTCGGGACCTTGTTTCTTGTTCTGTATCGAGAATTATAAAAACCGATGGGTATGTAAAGAGTGTTTTATATCTTTTGCTTCTTTATCATATAAAAGCAAAAGATATTCCAAAGTAGCATTAATTATAGATCCTGTTTTCAATAAAGGTAATAGTTATTTGTACGCGTAAGTTACGAAATCTTAATATTCGCGTAAAAATAATGTTAGTCGTATATTATTACTAAGAAAATATTGACAAAAGGCTCACATTCTTAAATAGAAGTAAAATTTTAAAACCGACTTTATATAATTATTTATTTCGTAACTTGTTAGTTTGTAGAAAATTACGTTCTGTATCGAGAAAAAGGTAAATCAAGGCAAATTACCTTCACACTTTTATACAAATCCCATAATGAATTCTCGGCTTAAGCTATCAATTACTCTTAGGAAGGCAACACAATTACAATCCCCGGGGATAAATAAAATTTATTAGCTATTCACATTTGCATAATTGGATAAATTGCCTACCTATCAGGTTATATTCATATTACTGTTTATATTTTACTGAGTTTCATATAACAGTATATAAAAATTATAATTAAATGTTATATTTAAAGACTTGTGGCATTCCATACTCTTTGTCTATTCCGTAAGGGATTCGACGTAAAGATAAATAGATATTATAGAACTATTTTTTTCATCATCATCATCATCAGCCCTTTTACGTCCCCACTGCAGGGGCTCAGGCCTTCCTCATGGATGGTTAAGGAGGATAGGCCATGACCCTCTACACTGGCCCAATGCGGACTGGAGGGTATAAACCACGGCAAGTGCAGCAGGGACCAACGACTTAACGTGCCTTCCGAAGCACGGAGTAGCTCGAGATAATAATTTTTTGGTCACCCATCCCGTGACCGACCCTTGCGAAAGTTGCTTAACGAAAACGATCGCGGGCAGCTGCGGTTATCCACTACGCCAACGAGCTACTCGACTATCTTTTTGAATATGCTTTTTAGAGTTCCGTACAAAAAGGGTAAAATGGAAACCCTATGATACTAAAACTTCGCTGTCTGTCTGTCACCAGGCTGTATCTCATGGACCGTGAAAGTTAGACAGTCGAAATTTTCACAGATGATGTATTTCTGTTGCCGTATTTCTGTCGCGTCAACAACAAATACTATATACCAGAGTGAAATTAATATTTTATTTCGGTTTTCTTTTCATATTAGTAACACAACATCTTTACCAACCTCTTTGGTATTATAGTTTTGTTAGAACAACAAGAAGAACACAGTTTTGTTACACTATTATAACTGCACAAGTGAAATGAAATGAAAATGTTATTATTCAAGTAAGCTTGTTACAAGCACTTTTGAATTGTCCAAAAATATTTTTTTCCCTACCACTTGTTCAGGACGTCTTTTAGCTGACAAGAAGAACAAGCGAAATAAACTTACCAGCCTTTAACATAAGTAATGACATTTACATAAATCATGATATTACCAAAATAATATATATATATCGAACAATAATAAATACAAGTTTCAAAGTCTGTAGGACATAGGTTAGTACATACCTATAATTAATCGTTATAGAACAGAGCGAAGGCTATTAATTCCATGCATTGCGGTCAATGGATTTAATTTTAAATATTTGCGTTGTTACTTTATTTGTTTGTTGTATTATTTCTCTTCATGTCAAAACTGTTCATGAATATATCAGCTTTACACTTTTGAGATGTTATAATTCATTTGGTTATACAGTCCACACTTCTAGATATACGTCTTTTAGAACTAAGTTCACGAAATAGATTTTGTGTTTTTTTTTCTATTATTAATGTCATATTACCTAAATTATTGTTAGGTATAATGTATCTACATTATTATTGACAGCACGACAGGTTATAGAAAACTGTGAAATTTCTCTTAATCCTTAATACATTCAGGATAGAGTTCGAAATCAACTGCGGGATGGATTTTGACTTATTGATATACTGCTGTGTGTATAATGAGTCATATTGTATGAAATTAAAGCTGCGTATGATAAAATAAAAGATGCATTTTATTTTAGCCACTAGACAGCTGGACGTGGATGCTCTTAGAAGAAGCAAAATGCATTTAAGATGCAATGTGACACGACATCTTTTCTAAATACCGTAGAGTTCATTTATCTCATCTGGATATCCCACTGTTGCCGACGTTTTCAATTTAGAAACTCAAAAACTGTAGCCCAGGATTTTGCGGCTTCCTTATATTCTGTTACTGCGGATTTCTAATATTATTGAATACTGTTTAATTAATGAATAACAAAATGAGGTCTAAAAGGCCTTGTGATTGGTAATAAGCGTCAAATCAAATTATATATCTATTTAGAAGTGTATTTTACAAAAATATCCTCAAAGGCTCGGAATCCAACTTTATTCCCAAAACTTTTCAATTCCACGATTTCTCCGTGTCACAGGTAATAATATTACTTTACTTCTTTACATAAAGCCCTATTTTATGTACGACAGCTGACATACTGATACATAAATCCCATTCCTTAAGCTGCAAGACTCAAGATAAGGGCTGCCATCGGTTACGGGATTATCGGGATATCCAGTATCGGATATTCTATCAAATATCCATACAATAAATTGAACTGTTAGGTACCTTTAGATAATTAAAACTCTACTTAACGTTTTATATGAATAGTTAGCTTAAGTATAACTTTAAGTAGGTATATAACAAATCTTTGTTAGTGAATTGTGATCATTAATTTATTTGGTAAGGCTTATTTATACTCATCATTGAAGCTCACATGCTGAGAACGCGTTTCATCAACCAAGGAAATCACCCTGCATGCGGAGTCAATCGACTTATATAAATAAACTTGTTAAATGCTGACCTATTAGCATTAAACCCTATTCATTGTATTTAATGCTCTCATAGTTCCAAGCTCTCATAATGTTGGCTTTACCTTAAATAACATACATATTTTTTTATTAACTTTTCCGGGAGACGCGGAAAATCCCGGAAGTGACATTAATGGATCTGGTGAGCCTACTTACGATCCATCGTTGTTTATGTTCCTTTCATGTGCTGTACTTTTATGATAAATAAAACTTTATTATATCGAAGGACACATATCATTTTGTTTTTATATTTGTGCTTCATTACTTATGTAAATGAAATAAGTAAATGTTATTTAAATAAAACATTCAAATGAAAATGGTTATTTGAAATATTAAGAGACAATAGTAGTTTTATTTATCTTACCTGTCCATGTTTCGGGATAATTCCCTGATCGAGGCATGCAAAAATTAAGTAAAATAGATAGTTTAAAGACACTTAATTAACTTTGAATCGAAGCTCAAAAAAAATATTAATGAAAGGATTTTATTGATAATATTTATTTAAAAATTAATATTCGACAACATCACAGATATTGCTCAGATTCCAAAAACACCCAAACACAACACAATATAGGAAACTTTTCTACGTCGCACAGGAAGCAAACCGACACAAGTTATCCAATTAATAAATAGGACCCCCACAGAGATCGTATTAGGCTGTCGTCTTTTGTTACCATGCTTAAAGCGAGGTTATATGAAATTACCACTTTGGCTTTACTAATATTTGCCAAATAAACATAAATGCGCGCGTAGCCATAAAGATTCACTGCTTTATTTTCTGTCCAAGTAAGTGGTGGATTAACGTCATCTTTTTTAATTTCTTCTTTAAGATTTGTGTCTGCAAATTAATTACGCGAGAGTTCCCCAAACCATTTCTCGTGTCCGCTAATAGTAAACTAAAAGCAGCAGAGGAAGGGTATGCTATGGAAATAAACCATTTGAAATTATTTTAATTCTATTTCATAACAATGAAAAAATACTTTATTTTAATGTGTGTTCCTATGTTCATTGGCCCTTTGAATTGGGATGCGACGTTGAAAATAAAATGTACTTTAACAAAATAAATATCTACTTTTTTTATGGATAAAGGACAAAGGATGTTTTATTTGTGATCCAATAAAATAACTCACCTGTACATGAACATGTATGTCACCGCTCCGGTCAGTACTAACTACGTATTTCTAAAACAAAGGAGACAACATTCAGAAAAACAAAATAATATAATTAATATAAACATACATAGTATGTAAATTTTCTTTTTCTCAAACTAATTTATAATATAAATGCACGTTACGCGACACCGATTGTATCTGTAAATTTTCCGATTCACCGACCGCTTAGCCTGTGGCCCGATCTTTATGTTTTACAACCAAAGGTAAGGCCTCAATGCTATTCAATTGTAGTACTTCTGTACTCTCATACTGGCGATATTAATAGCCTGTAATATGATTATGTAATAATTCCACGATTATGTATTAATTCCTGCAAAACTGTGAATCAAACTGTGACAAAAATGGTTTCTTCCTCTTGGTGTCTCTATTTATCATAATTCTAACGTTATATATATTTAGAGCAAAACCTAGGATTTAACGAATTAATGGTTTTTGAAAATCGTTTAATTTCGAGTGTAAAACTCGAAAACCTTCCGCATTTCACTATTAAAAGCGTTAGTAACATGTATTAGTATCTAAAGTAATACATGTTTAATGTCTGTTGTATTTAAACAGGAATTGGACAACCTTTTAAAATGTAAAAGTCAATCATTTACGTGTAGCCCAATTTAATTAGTGACAGGTTTGATCGCCACTTAACAACGTATCGACCCATCTCTTTACCTGGCCCACAGAATTACTACATCGCAAATATTTGAACACGAAAGCCTTACCACGAGCTCTCAACGATATTCAATCTAGTTTTGTACATGATAGAGATCTATATCGATTAACCAATGGATACATCGTCTTACTTGCATCATTCTAAGCTTTGTTATTCTGTAAAAACACAAAAAGTAGCATCGAACACGCTTTCTAGTATAAGAGATTGTTTTAAATAAACTCTAATACTACGACTAGATGGAGAGCTCGTGACAAAAATGTGCAAGAACTTTTGAAAGCTTGATATTTCGGTATGTTGAAGTACTTAGGATATACATCACTCAGTACCCAGTATGGAAGTCAAGTGCATGAATACCTATTGCAGGCGGGGCAATGTAAAGTACGAATTATAATAACACATATTAAAGGTGCTTTTTAATTGTTTAAGATTACGAAAAACTTATTCGAAATATAAAGAAAAGGAAACTTAATAACTCAGATTGCTCAATCACGAAACGCGCGATTCAGCAGATTTCAAAAGTTAGTCTGAAAATGAGCTTCGAAAAAGACAATCGTAATGATTGAAAGTTAATTTATAACTAAACTATTAGTTGTTATTTCATAAAAAAAGTACTCAGACATTCATTGAAATCAACAAACACATTCATCGATTTTTAGAAGTTTGTTTCACGCCTCTGTCACCAGGCGTTCCAGCGCCTGACCTCCGCACTGGGTACTGAGTGATGTATACTCTTAGTACAGGTTCAAATATCAAGCTTCTGATAGCTCTTGCACATTTATGTCACGAGCTCTCCGTCTAGTCGTAGCATTAGTGGTTTATTTAAAACAAAATAGGTTTCATTTGATTGTTGACTCTGTAACACTGTGGCATCTCTTGCATTCGATGGTGAATTATGGCATGGCACCAACTACTCACCACTTATTATTTGCTCTGCAATAAATTGATAACAAACAAATAGAGAAATACTGTTGCAAACACCAAAATTGTATTAAATATTAATATAAAATTACTTAGTTCACATCAAAATGCATTTTTTCATATTTATTTAGTCAAAAACACAAAAGCTTATAAAATTATAAACACATTAAAAATCAGCCAGATATAAAAATCAGGAATTATAAATATAAATACTATTTGCAAACACAGCGAAACCAAGAACAGGAATTATAAAGCTTTTCATTTTAATGGCGAAACAAATATATCCATCTTGCGGAAACATTAAAATGGTTTCTTATATTATCACGCACACTACTCATTGAATGAACATGGAACATGTAAAAGATCCGAAACGTCTAAAAGTGAAATAAGTGTAGTTTTATTAAATTACTCTGATTCATAATATAAATTTCAAGTCACCAGAAGCTTTGAATTTGTTGGAAATAATCACTGTTCACAAAAAAAACACAATACGTTCCTATGAGAGGTCGGGGTATTTCTATGAATAGTGCGGAGTATGTGCCATACCGTTTGAAAATAACAAAATGTGTCCTCTCTTTTGTTTCAAACAAAATTAAGTCAGAATATCACTATACAGGCATGGCTCCTGAAGTAAACATGACCGATGGATTAACACGCAACATGGCGAAGTTTAAAATGTATTTTTTTTTTAATTTTTGGTCACCCGTCCATTGACCACCTATGCGAAATTTGCTTGATCCCGCTATGAAGCTCTGTTACTGTAACCTGATATTATATGAAACACAATACATTTTCCTTTGGCGTTTCCCGAGTAAGTGTTCATTCAGTTTATGATAAGTGAAAGACCGCGGGACAGTTTGTCGTGTAATGGCCGCGGAAAATGGGTATTGTAGCTATGAATGTGAATGCCACAACATTTCACGATTTTCACGGTTGACATTTTCAAAAAGTCCCCAAAATAACTGGTGATCTTATTTTACAGCAAGTACGTTTTACGTCTTGTAGGTTTACTGGTGTAGGTACAGCAAAATGTAACGGAGGTTAGAATTATATACAACTATTTATATTTATAATATCCGTATACCAAATCTCATCAAAATCCGTTAAGATTTTGCGTGAAAAAGTATACAAACATCCAATCTTTCGCCTTTAAAATTAGTAAGATTATAACAAAAAATAATTACATACAACCAAAACAATACAGCTATGCTATTGTTTTACAAACAGCTTCGAACACGACGTCTAGTGCAGTGCTGTGACAGAAAAGAGCTTCAATGAAAACACTGAGTATCTTTTCAAGTAGGTTTTATTTGATTAATTAATCCTCTAGTGCTGTGACAGCGTTGCGTTTTTATAAAATAATACCAATGCAGTTCATACGCTGTTTGAATCAAGAGCTCTATTTTTGAATCATTCATTAGACTCGCGTCGAATACTCATTTACTACTAAATTCATTTGACGCGACGCAAGAAAATTACTTTCTTTTCTTTTCAAAAAAGAAAATTATTTTCTTTGACTTGAACTATTAGTACTTACCTATTGCCCAATTCCGATAATGGAAAAAAAAAAATCGTCAACGCAAAACTACAAGTTTTTAGGGGTTCCGTAACAAAAAAAGGAAAACTGGGGGCTTGTAGGATCACTCGGTTATCTATATATCTGTTTCTCGCAGCCAATTAATTTTATTAAATGTTTATTAGATAAAATTATCAAATGAAGTGTCGATACTATATGAGTACTTAGCAATATCGATTTATCCCTGTAGAACCTCTAAATATGATTTCTTAACGTTTGAAAGTACCACAGCAATTTAACAACAATCGGCAATAAGCAATAAAGCTGTCAACCGCCTATCATTATAGTACAACAAGTGTACAGAAATAGACCAGCAATAACGCGTTTCGACCCCGCACTCGCTGCGCAGGCGCATTTAATGACCCATCATATTGTACGGACAGGTATTTGTGTCACTCGCTATTATATATACCCCGAACGAGTACTAATGTTATTGTTATAAACAAAAATATAAAAAACATATCTAAATTTTAAACAAGATTCCTCGCAAAATTAACCACTCTTCAGAATCCATTTACACAAAATTACAAGGTGAACATGGCATATATACTTTTATTTATGCTTATAAGCTTAGGTGTGCATATTATTATGAGAATTTTAAAACTTCAGCATAACATCCTAAAGCATAAATCAAGGGATCCTAAAATTTAACTTTTCTTCAACTATCTACTTACTTTTGAAGTCCTAATTTAGATTAACAAACTAAGTAAAGGTACAGTACAAGCTAAACTCTAAAAATCTAGTTATTAATAAGGTATCATATTCAAGTCAATATGATCAATTACTTTGGAGGTTAAAGGCGGAAGTAAAATCGAATGCGCTTTGCATAATATTAAAATCAGAATTTTAATATTATGCAAAATTCGCGACGTATGTCAGAAATTTGGTCATCCCGAACAACACAACTAATTTTTAATTAATTAAGAACTATTTATGCCCTTTTTATCTATTGCATGGTCCAGGTAGATTTCTAGAGCTTCAAGGGAGACTTGTCAGGAGACTAATATCGATGTTATCTTCATATAATAGACGAGTTAAGACACTATCGTAATGTATCAGCAGTCCACCGAAACAAGTTCTTTCTTGTATAACGAAAGAAAATTTGGGAACCTCTAACTCCATCATATCAATATGGGCACTATTTGATCTCAGTCCAGCTGAGTCGAATTTAATCAACAGGCCGCCCCTGACACTACATTTACATCTATCCAACCTTCGTATAAATTTTCGTAAATACATAACCATACTGTTTATGTAAAATTAGTAAGAAAGTTATTTTTAAACGCCGCGATTGAGGGTTCTCGATGAAACTGACATCTTTGGGAGAAACATGTACAATATTAAGAATTCTCGTCAAATTAACGAGAAGACGTCAGAATCGCGAGGCTTGTCAATGGGACAGAGATAAATGATGGCGTCTTACTGGGATTAAACGGTCAAAAGATTTTTTGAATTAATTACTTAAATACCATTAATAATCGTAATGTAAATACTCTTTTCAGGCCTCATTCACTTAAAACAAAACAATAAAAGTAAAAGAGGAAATTGAATAGGAGAAAAATAATGTTCAACTGTCTATTTAATGTAGTTTTATAAACTCAATGTTTTAAGTCACCATTTGTTCTATTCTTCGAAAATTTCATGTAGTTTTATTGATTGCATTGAAAAATTCTTCCTAAGGTCCATTTGATATAACTTTTCTTAACCTCAGTAGGTTATAAAATAAAGACTGTATTATCTATTTGCACTAGTATACATATTAGTCTATCCAATACTTGTAACAGGATACATATGAATACTGATGAAAGAATGATATTCATTTGTCTGTGTATTCACTACAAATTAAAAAAC